GATTTCTGTGATGAGTTTAGTTGCCCTGTGCTGAACTTGTTTGAGTTTTTTGATATCTTTCCTGAGATGGGGAGACCATCTCAGGAAAGATATCAAAAAACTCAAACAAGTTCAGCACAGGGCAACTTGTGCAATTCAAGCGAATTCCAAGTGCGGTCTCACAACATATGTGAGACCGCACTTGGAATTCGCTTGAATTGCGAATTCCAAGTGCGGTCTCACATATGTTGTGTATAGGGTTTTCCATAGTACTTACCCTCGACTGCGAAAAGCTTTTTTGAGTCTACCTAACATGCTGTTAGCCCTTGCTGAAGCTGATTCGACTTGTTGACAAACTTTCAAGTCGTTCGATACTAGAACTCCTAGGTCTCGCTAAAGTGTAGTTGTTTCTAGATTATGTACGATTCCATTTCTGCCTGTCATCGTATACAATTGTGTAGATTTATTTTCAGCTTTTCCAACATGCATTACTTTGCATTTATCTAGATTTAGACTCATTTGCCACTCGTGTGACCAGGCTACTGTGCTGTCTATGTCTGTTTGTAAAGATTTTACATCATCATTATTATCGATCACTCTTATGATTTTGCTGTCATCGGCATAGATTTTGATATGCTTTTGTAGGTTGTCCAGCAAATCGTTTATGTAAATAATAAATAATAAAAGGCCTAGTATAGACCCTTGCGGAACTCCACTAGTGACTTCTTTCCATTCTGACTCTGCTCTGTCAATGACAACTCTTTGTTGGCAATTTGAAAGCCACGCCTCTATCCATTTTAAAAGAGCTCCGCGAATGCTGTACGCTTGTAATTTATGAAGCAGTCTTCTATGAGAAACTATATCAAAAGCCTTGGCGAAGTCTGTGTAGATGAAGTCTACTGCACTGCCCTGGTGAACTGATTCTGTTAAGATGTCTCGAGTCTCAAGAAGGTTCAATGTACATCCTTTCTTTTTGAGGAAACCATGCTGCTCCTTTGTAATGAGATCGTTTGCTATGAAGTAATTCATGATCGTTTCATGAACTGTGCCTTCTATAACTTTGCAGGGCACAGAAGTAAGAGAGACTGGTCAATAGTTTGCGGCCTTTTGCTTACTGTCTTTCTTATGAATAGGTGAAACGTTCGACCATTTCCATAAGTCTGGGACGATCCCTTCGTTGAAGGACTTCCGAAAAATTAGAGCCAGTGGACGTGCGAAGGCCTTCGCACAATTACGTAGCACTCGAGGGTAAATACCATCAAAACCCATAGATTTGGATTCTTTAAGACTTTCGAGTCTTTTTCTTATATTTGACTTGGTAATGAAGGAATCGTCTGGATCGCATATAACTTCCGTACGTGCTTCGAAATTTGGTAGCTGATCAAGTGGGTCTGTTGATACTGACTGAAAATAATCATTCAAGATTTTAGCGAATTCGTTTTTGTTGGTAGTTATATTTCCCGACAAGTCTTCCATAGTTCTAATAGTGTCTTTGACCAGCTTTTTATGTTTAACGTGATTGTGTAGCTTTATTGGGTCTGATTTGAAGACATATGCAATACCCATTTCATAGTCCACTTAACAAAGTACTTTTGAGGTATAAAAAAGTTGTATAATGTAATGCTTGCAAGTATAATGTAATGCTAGCAAAAAAATATAACAAAATAAAAATAAAATTCAAATTAATTTAAGCAATATATTAAAAATAAAGAAAACCTTTCAATTAAATAATAAATCATATATAATTCTCTCTTATTTAAAATTAAATTCAAACCATTTATAAAATTTTTTTTTTTTTCACATAAAAAAATTAATGTTACTTCAATATTATTAGTAATTTTTTAACTTGATTCAGAAAAAAAAAGTTCCAGGACATTTCAGGACATTTTTGAAAAAATATAATTTTCCAGGACATTTCAGGACATTCCAGCATACTTGCAAAAATCCAAGACATTCCAGGACTGTGGCCGTCATGAAAAAACATGATAGTAAGTTGTATGAGTGAGAGTTTAAAAAGATAGATATCAAAACATTAACAGCAACATTATTCAGTAACAATTTGTAACTGAGAACATTGGTTGTTGCTAATGTGAGAGTTTTTTATGCTTAACTTCCTCCACCCAAAGAAAAAAATATATTTATCTGTGCTGTCTTTAAACAAGCTTATTTGTTTAATGGTGTTGAGTCCAGATAAATTGGATTCTAAAATGTAAGTGTTAACCATTAATTTTTGATTTCTTATTGTATTGGACTTTTTTTTAATTACATCATAGGACAGCTGTAATACATGTAATAGCTATTTTAAACAATTTAACAACAAAAACAAACATGGTAGAACTTCCTTACGGTTACTTGTTAATATTTGTGTCTTTTAGCATCTAAAAATCTTGGGGCATAATTCTGTGTTAAGGATGTTATTTACAAACCTTTTCCACTTTAATTCATTTTTATATAAAGTCTCATAAAATGTTTTCAAAATATACAGTAATCTTTGCCTTTGTAACAACATCTTTTAGAATAATCTTTTCAAAGTTCTTCTTATTGATTTCAAATTATTTGTCTATAAATTTGTTTGTGCAGAATATAAATTCTGTTATATTGGCAAAAACTACTTGCCATTTAAAGAGATATAAAAACTCTCATAACTTCACTTAAAACAAAGTTGTTTCACTAATAAAATAATAATGATAAGTGTTTTTAAATTTAGATTCTGCCTTCAGCAGCCATTGTTATGAGATATTGCTGCGAAACAGAAAAGCATAACGCAAGTAAATGTAACTTTACTCAATAAACAAATTTACATCACTAAAGTTTAATTACATCAGTTGTGCATTTTAAAGTCCCACATTGTAATTAAACTTAATTTAAACCACATTAAAAATTGTCTTTATAAAATATTTATAAAACAACTTTAAATTAAACCATATTGTTATAAAAAAATTATTAATAAAATTTAAATATGTTCTTTGAAAAAAAAAATTTCCTAATTTTAAAAAACTTTATCTTATTTAAACTATTTCTTATTAATACTATTTTTTTCTTAAAACATTTGCCTTATGTTTATTTTTTTTTTAAATGAGGGGGCAATTTTTTTATTGTTGAATTTTTAAAAAAATAAATAAAAACTATTAACATTTTTTTAACACTTTAACAAAATTTTTGCATACTACTCATAAACTAGTTAATAATTTCTAACTCATTTTTATTCTATAATCAATTTTTTCGTATGTAAAATTCAAATTTGTAATGCTTCTTAACAAGGCCTGCATCAGCAAATTAGATTTAAAACAAACAAAATATGCATATAGAGTGGAAAAAATCTAGTATCAATAAATTCGCCTTTTTAAATTGAAACTTACCATTTAGTTCATAAATATTGTATATCTATAGAAAATTTGAAAAAAAGATGAGTAAGGTAAATAAAATAGAACAGTTTTTTATGAAATTTTGAGATGATATGGGGTAAATTTATATGAGACAAGGTAATCACTGCATCGATTTAGTGATTTTAAATTGAATTTCATACTAATGCAAAATATTTAGTAAAGTTATAGAGTTTGCCAAACTGACAAGGAAACAGCTGAAAACAAAATGATAATTGAATCTCTTTGAGAAAACTTTTTGCAGCATTATTTTGGGTTTTTTTTTAGTAAAAATTACCCAAAATAATGGTGCATATATAGAGTGTATACAATGGTATATTGGTTATTTGAGTAATCATTTAATACAACTGTATGTTTAGTTTCTTAAAAAAACTGTATGCGTATGTTGCATCAAAAATCACTTAATTAAATATTGGTAAAAAATTATACAAAACTTGCAGAAAGTTTTGAACATTTATTAAAGTGGAAGTGATCTAAAAAAAGGAATGTTTGATTTAAAAAAAAGAAAGAATAGATGTTGTAAATAAATCATTGAACAAGTGTCCAATTTGTAGGATTGGACAAGATGCAAAACGCCATAAAAACTACATGTATCAGAATTTCTACCAACACATTATTCATTTTTTAAGTGAAAATAAATTTTTTTTAATAACAACTATAGATTGTATCATAACTGAGATAGGCAATGATTTAGGGTGCAGAGGTATTAAGCCTAATGCATAAAAGATCTTTAAAGACTAATACTTCTTCCATTATTTTTTTCCATGTTTAAAGTCCATAATTCCATGCCTAGTGAGAATAGGTTTCCATATTGCTATTTTTTTATTTAATCATTACAATACAGAAGAGTTTAATATTTTTACAAAAATGTTTATATTTGCTCAAACCTCAATGTTTATATTTCTTAATCTCAACACTCTTATAATTAACATAGTACCACCTCTAACATCGTATTTAAAATCCTGGACCATGCCATAAGTTGAACCAGAGTTTCAGGTTAAGAGTTACCATTCTATTTTTGTGCAATTATCCATTTTGGTTTTTTCTTCTGTAAAATTTTGAGTTATTATATTTACATCTATTATAGACACTTTTGCAGTTTCATGGAAACTGAAAATTATTTTCAAATTTGAAAATTATTTATCATAGATGTTAATCAGCCACCATGCTAACTTCTTGTTTAGTTATTTTTGTTGCATATTTTTAATAAATGATGCAGCAGGTACACCCTGAGTCAATTAACACATCCTAAATGTCATTAAAGACCAAGCAAATGGTAAATCTAAAATCATTTTTTGGATGCATTTTTAATATGTCTTGGCATAAGTAATACAGCACTTCACTTGTCTTGCACCTTCTACCTGACTTGTTTCAAATTCAACAAGCAATTACTTTACTTACAAGAAATTTAATACAAGCAAAATGTGACGCCAATTAAATATTCAATTTAACAGTTTCACACAACTTTTTATTTTCAAGTGATTTGCTATATTAACAAACTTTGTATATTACAAGTATATACCTATAATAAATGTAGAAGTTCAATACAAAAAACAATTTAATTAAAAAAAAGCTAATCAAAGCATTTTATTCAAAAGTATGATTTACATATTTGCAAATATGAAGCATTAAACTTACAGATAAAACTGTTTTCTCAATATTTTCATCTGATAGAACATCTAAACATAATCCACATCCAGTAACAGGTGAAAACTGTTCTGACTAAAATAAAAAAACAAAACAAACATAAGTCAGCAATAATTAAAAAAATTTTACCAAGAAGGAAATCTACTCTATTATTTTGCATTTCAATTTTGAATTATTACTATGTTTGTTATAAGTTATTGCAAAATAACAAACATAAAGTCTAAGGGCTTGTATTCAAATTAAATGTAGAAAACTTACTCTACCTCAAAAAAAGGTGCAGTTTTTTAAATCTTCATTTTGTTAACCTACAGAAGAGGTAAACAAAATAGAATTTTTTTATAATTTTATGTACTCTGTTATTAGTTCTGTTGCCTATAGCTTATCAAGTATGGTAAAGTTTCAAAAAAAATTTATTTAACACTCTTAATCTAAAATTATGGTAAAAATGAAAAAACTAGGAAGAAAAAAAAAGGAGAGGATAATATATTTTATTTAAAAAAAAATGTTTTAAATTGTTTCCTGCCTTGGATGATGGATGCTGGATCGTCTTGATTCTACTTGAGAATTTTTTGTTCATCTCTTAACTTTTTCTACTATATTCTTTGTGAGGGTAGCTCATTAAGGAAAGTCTTTGAATTAACTTTTCATCTGTTAAATCTTAGTTTCTGCCAAAAAAAATCTTTTTACTATTGTTATGGTATTTGAAACTTTAATTGAAAAACTAATATTTCATGTTGAGCCTGACAACTTATTCTCTGAAAATTAGTATGGATTTTGATCCAATCTGTCTGCAGTTGACTTGCTAACTGTGATAACAGAAAGGTTCTATTGTGAATAATATGGAGATGGCAAGACAAAGGCTATTGCTCTTAATATATTAAGGGCTTTGAATAGTTTTGCATGCTGGTCTTCTCTATATGCTCACTTTATATGGTGTATCTGGGAAAGTTTTTTACATTACTAAATCATTCCTTTTTAAACACAGCATTAAAGTCATCCTTGAAGTCAGTCCTTTTTTTTTATTTCAAAAATATTCTGGAGTACCACAAGGTTTTATTATTGGTCTTGTATTGCTTCTTATCTATATTAATGATCTTCCCTACAATCTTTCATCTAAAGTGGTTCTACTTGCTGACAATACAATTATATACTCCAGTTTGAAAAAAAAGCCATCACTTTTTATTTGCTTAGCACAGACAGCCAATCTTGAATTTGATCATTCTTTTTTGATAGTTTAGAGTATGTAGTCACTTGTGAATTTTACCCAAACAATACTTGCTTACAGCTATTGCAGTATTGTTGATATTTCTACATCAGTGAATTGACAAAACTTTTACTGAGTCCTCATTTTTATTCTTTTTTTACAAGAAAGAAGGTGTCATTAGAAGAAACTTCGCAAATGTGATAGAGAATGGAAACAATCATACAAAAATGACAAGCAAAAATGAGGCTTAAGAGAGGGTAACAAAGCAGCCGCAAACTTTACAATTGATTGTAAATATGGTTTTCATGACAGGGCATCATAGAACAACAATCTAGTACTAAGACTAAATTAAACTTAAAATAAGCCTACATTAAACTTAAAATGTCTCTAGGCTTCTTTTTGTTTTGTGCAAAAATGTATTTTGACTTTATTAAAATTTTCAGTTATAGATGTTGAATAAATATACTGATTGTAGCTGACCATTGTTTTTAATTTAAGTCAACAGGGTAAATATATCAACTAAAAAATCTAAAAACATTTTTTTTCATAAAATAGGAAATGAAAACATGAAATTGTCTTATAATCAAAATTCATGTTTCAAAAGTTATATGCACTCATGTGCCAAATTAGTTGTAAACACCAAATACCAGAAAAAGTCTTATATTTTAAAAATTCAATTATGCTATTTTTTCATAAAGCAAAATATAATTAATTTGATAAGCTGAATCCTAAATATTTGTGTTTTAGTGTAACCATTAAAATGAAATCTCCTGATTTTTTATCACAAGCAAGGTTTTAGTGTCCAGCTATATACTATTTGAAACATCAAATTCTTATTACCTGCTTATATATGACTTTATACTTAAAGTTGGGCATTTTTTAGGGTATTTATGTTCTTGTGCTTCAACCACAGTTAAAATGATAAAATAAGTGGGAAGATATGTAAGACGATATATCAGTGATGCAAATGGGCAGGAAGCAAATTTATATATTTGCTTCTCATTCATTTGCATCCCTGTTTCTTTCAACAGCATCCCTATTTCTTTCAACTTAAATCCAATTTCAGAACTATTTTCATGAATTTAAATGGCAGAAATCTAGGTTCCAAATTAGTTTCATAAGCTGAACTTGCAGAAACTGCATTCCATAATTATTTTCATAAAATCAATTACCAGAAATGACTCATTAAAATGCTTCACCAAAAATGGTGAAATTTGTTTTATATATACATTGGAATATAATAAAATAAACTTCTTGTTATAAAGAGTCTTGTATTATAGGGTAAGCTACTGAACTTACTTTATAATTATATTTGTGTAACTAAAAACTCAATAAAGATTTCTTTAGTTTGTTAAGTATTTAGCATTTACATTTAGAACTTTTCCAATTATTTTTCTAGCATGGATGCAAATTTATGTAAACTTCCTATTAACATTTTTTGAAAACAATATTGTGAGTGTGCAATTAAAGACATGCAGAAATATAAATAAAAAATTGTTATCCATTTGAATTTTGTTAACCTAATCTTTAATCAAAATTCATTAGTATGATCCAAGAGAATTTAGCTTCCTTTTATTATAGATATAAAAAATTCAAAGAAAAGTTTGTATCACAGACAAAAACAAAGTTTCCTTGTTAAATAATATTTTTAAAAAGTTTTCATCAAAAATTGTACAAGTGAAAATTAAAGTATCATTATTTATCCTGTCTTTATTTTTTAGATATATTTAGTTAAAGCACACATTCACTAATTATATCTCTATTATTATGATATAAGTAAATTATATTTTTAAAAAATTACCTCAAATACTTGATAAACATTTTCAACAGAGTAACGTAGTATACACCGGGTACAATATTTGTTTAAGGAAAATAACTCTTCCATATTGAATATGTAAAAATCTAAAAAATAAAATATTTTCTTGCTAAGATTGAGTTAAAATTTAATTTTAAAAGTATAATCAAATATAAATTTAAAGAGACAAAAAAAACTAATTTAATTAAAAAATTTTATTATTACTATTATTATTATTGCTATTATTATTATTATTATTATTATTATTATTATTATTATTATTATTATTATTATTATTGTTATTATTGTTGTTGTTATTGTTGTTGCTGTTGTTATTATTATTATCATTATTTGAAATTTTGTAATTAATATTGGCTAATTAGTCTAGCTCCATTTATGTTGTATTGAAATATGTACGTAGAAAACAGGGAGACTTTTTAGGCTTCAGATTTTTCAACTTTTTATTTTAATAAATTATTCACAATGATTTAGGACTTTCATTGTGATTTTTTATTTTATTTAACATATATAAGAATACAAATTCAAGAAATTATTTTAAAATTAGTTAATATCATGAACATTTGTGAGAATAAATAGTTTTCAACATTTATTCATTATGCATTCTATCTATAAATTAAACCAAAAATCAGAAATTTAAGCAGAACCCAAATTCAAACTACTTTATACGATTTTTTTATTGAATTACTCCCTACTAATGTCTTTTATTTAATTAACAATTCGATATAACTATAAAAAATAATTTAATATAGAAATCTTGTCATTCACTTTAATTGCTATATAAAGAAGATTGTTATTATAAAAAAAAGATATTAAAAAGTATTTAAAATACAATTTAAAAAAGTAAAAATAGAAAATTTCATCTTTTTTTTTTTTTACTGCGTTCCATATTGTTTTAAAAATAAAAATAAAATGAAAATTAACTTAAACTAACGATGAAGAATTTAGAATTAACTCTAAACTAATGTCTTTTATTTAATGAACAAATCGATATAACTATAAAAAAAAAATAATTTTAATATAGAAATTATGTCATTTACTTTAATTGGTCTTCCTGAAAAAACTACTTAAAATAGTTCATAAAGAATACATCAAAATCAATTAAAACATGCCACTAAACTTATTATAATTTATTCAACTAAAAAATAATAACAAGGGGTCAAAAACTTTAGTGTAACAGAAGACAAAATCTGCGAAATAGAAATGAGTCAATTTTTCTTAGTTGCTTATTTATAAATCTCACAAATTAAATTTGTGAGGTTTATAAATAAACCTTTATTGACACAAAAGTAGAGGAAGAGAAGCTGTAAACCTTATCTGTAAAGAAATAAAAGAGCCCGTTTTTTTGAGGGAAAAAAGTCAACGATTTCTAGCTGCAACTTAAACTTTATTTGGCAGAAAACAGGAGATTAACACTTGTAAAGAATTCCAGCAATGATATTGAAAACGCAAAAGATGTTAAGTATCGATATTTTTGGTTCGTATTAAGGTTCGTATCTATGTATTCGGTCAAAAATATACTATATTTTTGATATTTTTATCTATATTATTTAGATACGAAGGTTAAAATTTAGAAGCATATTTTTAGAACGTATCAAAATGTCAAAAATATACTATATTTTTGATATTTTTATCTATATTTAGATACATAAGTTAAAATTTAGAAGCATATTTTTAGAACGTATCATAAATTTTAAGTCACACACACTTGATTAAATTTTAGTTTAAGCAGTGCTGGTACAAGACTGATAGTCAATAAACAAACGTAGCACGTGGCCTAGTTTAACGAAAAATCATAAACATCGCTCAAGATCCATTGTTTGAAAAAAATACGTTCCCCGAAAGGCAAACTTTATCCACCAAGGGTGGGAAGCAAATATATATTTCCCACCCATTTGCATCCTTCATATATCATCGTCTAATATATATTGCCACCAATTTACATCCTGGACATATCGGTCAAATATATCCGTCCGGGATGGTAAGAATTGTAAACAAAAAGTTCAAGCTTGGTTTTAGAAATGTCGTTCAACGGTTGTACAACAATGTTTTATAATGGAAAGTAGATGATTGAATCAAAAACCTATTCCGACGTTTGAAGTTTTGTGTACATCAATGACCGGAATATACCAAAATAAGTGTTTGCCTTGATTTTTAAACACTTTTTAAAACAAATTTTTTTTTTTAGTTTAAACTAAAACCCTTAGTAGATGTATGTACACATCCTGCATGTTCTACCTATTTAGTCAGTCGATGTATGTACACTCCCTTCTTTTTTTACATGTTTAAGTCAGACTATGTTATTATTATTATTAATATTTTATTAATCACCCTCTGTAAAATAAATTTACAAGGTAAAAACACAAACTAAGAAAAAGAGATTAAAAAAAAAAAGTATTATATAGGAATGTATTCTTCAAGTGTCTTTTTAAAAATTGTTCGCTGTTCTTTTACATTCCAACATTGAACCGCGTGTACCAAAATATGAAGAGTAGCTTCAGGAATTACATTCTCTAAGACTTTAAGTTTTACTTTTTTTTTAACCAGCATTAAGGTTTCATATTCAGTTTATGATTATCAAATAATTCTTTTATATCATCTAAAAAAGAAAATTTAGCTGAACAGTAGTTAAGTTGGGAGTTAATGATTTCAAAAATTTCTTTATTGTTTAAAAGGCGGATAAATATATTTATTTTGTTTTGGTGTATATAATTTGACATCTCCTTAATTTTAAATAAAGAATGTATATAATTTTTACTATACTTGGAGACATTAAAAACTGGTTTAACTGCGTTCCTTCCAAATGTGTCGAGTCTTTTCATTGTTTCATTTTTATTTTCACAGAGCTCTAGACCGTGGGTTAACGTTGGAACTGCTAATGATTTATATAATTGGATAATAGAACTTGGATGTGCAAACCGGATTCCAGATTGAATAAGAGTTTGCACTGTTGCCCGGAAATTTGATACCCTACTATCAATATTCATTCTATTTAGTGAAGCAAAAATTGATTTTTTTGTATCCCAAGTAAAGCCAGGATGATTAAGTTTCTCACGAAGTATAACTTGATGATTGTCTAGAGATATTGTGCAGTTCATTATTTGTCTTTTTCCAGAGAGCAAAAGTTCCGTTTTGAAAGCATTAAGTTTTATCCCGTTAAAATTGTTGTATATGTTACACGTTGAAATAAGTTTTTTTAGGCCCGAGAAAGTAGAGCTGAGAAGAATGATGTCGTCAGCAAGTCAAGTTTCCATATATAGTAGTACCAACAATTTCATCATTTTTTATAGTTTCGAGTAGCTTCTCAGTGTATATGTTATATAGGTAGGGTGAGAGAATCGATCCTTGTTTTACTCCTTGCTTAAGATCAAATGAGACTGATTTGCAACCTAGGTATGAGACAGTTGCACTGCTGCTACGGTATAAAGAAGATATAGTGTTAACTATTTGGAGAGGTAGATTTTTATCAAAATAAAATTTATTAAAAAGAACATCCCAGTTGCAGCTGTCAAAAGCCTTTTCAGTATCTAGTGAACATAAGCAAACAGGCGAATTGTTGCGATTATAATGCTTAATTGTTTCGCTTACAACAAATTCAGCATGGAGGGTTGAGCTCTTATTATTAAAACCAAATTGAAGTTGATGAGTTTCTTTTATCTCCGGGCATATGAATAAGATAAGGTATTCAAAGAGTTTAGTAAATATTGGAATAATGCTGATACCGCGGTAATTGTTTGGATCGGCAAGTGATTTTTTATAGGATTTAACTAAAGGTATGATGTTGATGTTGACATTGATGTAGGTGCCCATCCGTGATTAATTGAAAAGTGAAATAACTTTCTTAACCATTGTGTTAGTGCTTCACATTGGGCATGTTTTAAATGTTCTGCAGAGATATTGTAATGATTTTTGCACTTACTTGATTTTAGACATGAAATAGCTGTTTTAATATTTTCATCAGTAATTAAAATTTCATCAGGATTTTTGCAAGGTGGAATTCGAAGATTAGTAACTCGATCAGTTATTCTCTCAGTGCTTAACCGTTTTTAAAAAATAGTAGCCAACTCTGCGGTGATGGATTCTTTATCTTTTTTATTATTTATAGTAAAAAGTTTTGAATTTGAATCCTTTTTCATACTTCTAAAAGTATTCCAGAAGTTTTTTGGGTTAGATTTTTTAAGTTTTTCAATTTTTATGTATTGTTGATATAGCCTATTGTTTTGGGTTGCTTTGACGGCTTTGCAGAAATTCTTCCGAGCAAATATAGGTACTTCGATCAAAATTTCAAACTGAACTTTATGTTAAAAAAATTACCAAGATAAATAAAGCCTAATATTATCTTTCTAAAGATGGTTTTATTATGGTTATATCATGAAAAGAAAAAAAGTTATTCAGTTTTAAAGAACCAACAAAAAATCATTAATGGTATAAAAATTGAAAAAAAACGCGCTTTTAACAACAACGTTAAAAAAACACGTTTGCTTAAATTTTTGAGAAGCGTGATTTCAAAATGTGACTAAAAACTTAAAGTTAAGATAAATAAACTTCTGAACCGCGGCATAAATAAATTTTTTTTATAAATTGACTAATATTAGCAAATTTAATTTTCAAAAATTTTCTTAACATTTAGTGTCTTAAATGGTCAACGGGAGAGAAATATTCTATATGGGGAAATATTTTGGAGGAAAACTCTCACTACCCCCCTTCTCCCCCATATTTAACTTTTTTAAACCAGAAATATAAATCAATTAGTTAAAGAAATGAAACTTTATTTATCAAATTAATAATTTTGTAATTTTATATCTCGTTTTTTACATGAGTTTATGTAAGAATAAATACTAAAACTGTCAGTAAATTTGCCCTGGCTATTCAGTTCATAAATTAGACAAATAATTGTCTAATTTACTTAACAAAGTACACCACCGAGAAGGTAAGCCATAGGACTTTGCAATTAATTTTTAAACTGTTCATTTAGCTTATTGTCATTATGCTTACTTTTTGTTACTATGCTTAACTCTAGCTACTAGATAACCAGTTGATTGAAAAGAATTATCATTGTTGACTAGGGTTATAATTGAATATATATATATATATATATATATATATATATATATATATATATATATATATATATATATATATATATATATATATATATATATATATATATATATATATTAGGTGAGCATGATGACGTCATACTGAAATAGCCTGCTGCCGGGGGCTTCAGTACATACATCGACTGACAAATAGCCTGACTCGCAGTGGAGTGCTGCTACATCGACTGAGAGTTTGGTATGGGTCAGCATATAAATATGCTATAGTAGATATACATATATATATTGTAGAGAATTAAAAAGTAAACAACATAAAAACAAAATCTTTTGTTTAACAAATAAAAGAGATATAGATGGTTAAAATATTCTATGAAATAGTTTCAAAAACAACATGAAATTGGTAGACATAATAGACACATAAATAAACATTGATAAACATAAAAAAAAACTACAAACTGATAAAGGTTGAGGTTGAGAAACAAAAACACCCTTTTTCTAAATCAGTGACCATATAGTTTGAAACAATGTTAAAAAGCACTTTATAAAAATGCTCTCTCGATTTCATTATTTTTTAATTTTAGTAAAGGTAATGTAAGTGGTATATTTTTTGGTTGGAATGAAAAAGAATATATTTAGTTTTTTCTGTATTTAATGAAAATTTACTAGATTTAAACCAATTGTCTAGTTTTTCAAGTTCAATGTTTTAAGTTTCAAAAAGTTCTGTAATTTATTTAAACGTATAAAGTAAATTAGTATCGTCTGCAAACATTATGACATCTAATTTACTTGAGGCTTTTGGGAGGTCATCAATATATATTAGAAACAAGAGGGGCGCAATAATGGAACTATGCAAAGTTTCATTCTTAATGTTCCACCTGATACCTAAAATAAAATCCATTCTTGGTGTTCCCCAAAGTTACCTAAAATAAAATTGTTCCCCAATTGGGGAACACCGGATATATATATATATATATATATATATATATATATATATATATATATATATATATATATATATATATATATATATATATATATTTGTCTAGTTTTTCAAGTTCAATGTTTTAAGTTTCAAAAAGTTCTGTAATTTATTTAAATTTTTTTTAATATTTTTTGTTTTGCTGTTAGCATAAGATTAAACGTGATGGTTTTCAACCATCGACATTTAAAAATCGATTTAAAACATCGACATCGACATCAGGAAGCTTTTAGATCTGCTAAATCCTTTAAACCAAAAGTTAGTTTAAAGAATCTAGCAGAAAACTACTCATGTAGCATGAGGCAACAAAAACAAAAAAAATTATTATAACTTGCAAGGCTCCCCAAAGCTTAATCTTAGGACCGTTATTATTTTTACTTTATATAAATATTCAACATAAAACTTATTTAATTAACTTTACTTTTATTTGCAAACAAACTTCAATCTTGTATCAAACATTTGTAAACTCTCAAGCTGTTGTTATGGATAAAAATTTGTTATGAATGATGAAATTTGACATACCATATGTACATTCTGGAAAGAAAACACTCAAAAAATTTTCCTTCACGCACAAAAATATTTCCTTGACATATAGAGTAACCATTCTTATTTATTTTTATTATTTTTTAAAAAGTTAATGTTTTTTGCTAATAAATAGTTAAAGCCGGCACAAAGAGGAAGTGTGGGGGAGGGGGGTCACAACCCCGTCGGCACACTGCACTTTTGCGCCGGCCTTAACATTAACCCATACTCCCTCTTCGCGCCGACCTTATGTATTATCAAAAAATACCCTTCCCAGCTTCCCTCCCATCAATAACTTTTTTGTTCATTTGGTCGGC